TAGAGAAAAACGATGAATCTTCACACGACTTTATGCCTTGATACATGTTAAATATGATCTCGAAACGTTTACCTTGTACATTTGTTTTTATTAATTTTTGCCATAGTCCAAAGCACCAATATTTTCTAGATAATTATTAATTCTTTCACTAAAAAATAGAAGTAAAGGGCAGATGACCACGGAGTACGCTGATCACTGTGTCGGATTAACGAGACTGATTAATGAGTGATTTCGGTAATTCGTTGCAAATTAGGTGTGTCGGAGTCGGAGTGCTAGACTGTCGGATTAACGGGTCTAAATAGGTTCCCATCATTAGTGTCGGATAAAGCCGATTGTCGGATTAACGAGACTTGATTGTTGTATGACAGACTATACGTTTTTATTAGAAGTACTAAGACAGAGACATTTCTTCTGACTGCAAAGTTTTCAAAGAGCAGTACATCGAAAATGTTCTTCACATAACGTGTCCCGACCATGTCTAGGTGAGGCAACTTGAGTGGACAATACTTTAAGCCAACTTGTGAATGTTCCTATTATTTTTTAACCAGAAATGCCAACCAATTAAACAACTAAAACAAATACAAAGGTTGTATATGTCACCAGGTCTCCAATGTCATCACACATGTCTGGCCAGAGCTCGAGTGGCAGGGGGAAGAGCAGGAGCAGGAGGTCTTGGTGTGGTGTCACTAATGCCAGCTGGAGATTAACTGATGATTACAAGGCCTGTGAATTCAGCAGATTTGTACAGACCCTGATACTGCAGTAATCTAGACTTGCCAAATATCATAGGCTTGGAAGGGACTGTAATGGATATATTTGTTTCATGATCTGTATGACAGCATAGGTACAATAGGATTATGTCTGATTTATTTGTATCTGGAAAGGATATTTATTGCAGAAAACATTCCATTCCCGAAAAAAACACATCATAATTCATACATACACATATACAGACAGACATACATACCTGAAAACACAAAGAAATAATTTAATGCATAGAAAATATCAACAGTACAGATTTGATGATATTATACATAAAATGTCATAGGTTGATCCACGGGAATCTATTGCTTGACATCATCCATTTGAAAAATATGCAATTGATGTTGATGGCTCAATATTTGAGAGGATGTGGTGAAATAATATGTTTTCATTATTGTGGACATTTACATTTTGTGTGGATACTTTTCCAAAGAGTATATTTCTTTCTTTCGTGTGTTTGATACAATAAAGTAGGTAGTGTCTTTCCTCATCAATGGTTGAACATGTAGAGCATAGTTTCTGATGTAGTGGGGTGGGTGGCTTTGTATGTCTTCCAAGTTCTATAGTTAATTTATGGTTACTTACTCCTAGTTTAGAAAAGTGCACTCGATATTTTCTTATTTTACAGTGACTGAAATATGATTCTAATTTTATTTCATTTTTAACTGTCCTGAATGTCCTCAGTTTTTTCTTGCACCTTTTGGGGCACGGTTGGCCGAGTCGTCTGAGGCGCAGCAATTCGCTGTGCAGAAAAGCGCGTCCCTTGGGCACGCCAGAAATCTATGATCGTGGGTTCGAATCCCGGTTCGCCCCGATTATGTTTCTAGATTTGGTCAGTACGACAACCGTGCTCGTGGGTTTCACCGAAGTGGTTAACGTCTGACACCTGCATCACTTCGGGCTTTCCTATCACATGGAACGGGGCGGTCGGGTAGCCTAGTAGGTAAAGCAGAATTTCACTATGTTGAAGAACCATCATAGTGATAGCAATTCGTAATTTATATTAGTACTGTGTACATAAGAGTATAGAATCCTAGTTCTGCTCGCCTTGCCCAATTGTGTGTTGTTTTGTTGACACCTAACATGGATACACAACATCGGCGCCGCAGTTTCTCGGGGATTAATTAATCAAAGTTGTTCAGACTAGGGGTGTTGCGTCTATACCCCAGATTTGGGTAGATTATTGGTAGACTGAAGCTTATGGTAGTACCTAGGCCCTATTTCAAGGGAGGTTTGGCGCTATTATTAAGTTTATCATTTGCTTCAAATGTTATTCATAAATAATTATATCTATCCATAACTAGAATTTTTGCACCAACCAAGGTCCAAGTATTCGTTTCTTCTATTTTACTTGATTTGCCAAACACTGCAACATTTGTTTTTTCACCTTTAATCTTTAGGTTATTTGTTACACGAAATACTCTTAGACCATCAAATAACTCGTGCAAAATTTTTGGAAGTGGCAAAAAGTACAAAGTCATCGGCAAACAACAAATGACAAATGTTTAAAACATTAAGTGTTATTTTGTTATTTTCTTGTTTGATATGTGGTGGACGATCATTGTGGAATATATTAAATAATCTGGGAGACAAAATGCACCCATGTCTTATGCCGATGTTGGATTTAAAGGGTTGTGAAATGCCCCGTCAATTTTCACTTTATAAGAACTATTTCCTGACATTTTATTTGAAATAGCTTTGTTAGGGGTAGTGCTCTGTCAACTGAATCAGAGGCCTTTTGAAAGTCTACAAAGGAAGTGTATACATTTTTCTTTTTACTTTTTGTTAAAACTATTAAATAAATATTTTATGAACAAATACATTACTTGATGTTCGGTAGCCCTTTCTTAATCCAGAATGAATATGTTCATTTTTGGAAACAAGAAGTCTAGACACTCTAGACTCTTTCCTTTTAGGGTCTGTTAGGGGACTTGTTTGTTAATTGTGACGTGATACATTCTGTGGCAAGTTCCAGATCCCAGAGGAGTTTCTAGGGAGTTTGAGATGTCACAGCAATAACTGGATAACACATTTAGTGCTTCTGTGAGATCCTAAAAGATAAGCACATACTACCTGAAACCCAGAATGGGGCATGCGGTTGACATTCTGTAAGAATGAGGTTCATGAAGTTGACAGGGCTAACTGATACATATAAACAAGGAACATCCTGCCTCATGATAAAAGTGCTAACACCAGCTAGCTACAGATGTTTGAAACTTAGGCCGTGGTCAGCCTTTAACATACCCAGGGCATCTCACAACAGACTCTCAATAAGACTCAGATATTTACAGAGCGCTGAGAACTCAAAAACAGGGCTATGTAACTTTCAAGACTGGATCATGTCCAAAAAAATATTTCTTGCAAGGTACGTACTATTTTTTTAAATTTTCGTGCAACGTGGATAGGAAGCAGGATTTGCTTTCAAAATGCCACTTTGGGAAACATGTACATTGTCACGTGTTAGTTTTTAGTAATTTATTAAAATAGAGGCGTTTCTTTTCTCCATGTTTGCGGGTATAATATGTCCAGAGTTTTGTTTAATGGGTTTCAAATGGTTTTCGATTAGTATGTGCTCGCATGTGAAACGTAAAATATTAAAATTTCATAAAGAAGAGCACTCCACGTATCTTTCATGTCGGGGACAATACGTATTGAATGACGGTAGGGTGAAGGGCGTTTAGGTTTGACTTTATCATATGCGCAGTGGAAATGAGTATCTATTGTTCTTTTTATGTAAAATACATTCATTTGAATATTACTTTTTCTCATGTTATGTTATGTTATGTTATGTTATGTTATGTTATGTTATGTTATGTTATGTTATGTCATTAAACATTCTTATGGAAGGAAGGAGATAATAATGCTGCATACCCGCATTTGAAACTATTTCCATGCTCCTGGATTTGCCACTAAGTTTTCAGGCTATTTCCAAAGGGATGTTGTGTAGATAATCTCCCCCGTGTTAAAGGAAAGCCATATAGTGTTCCAAAGGGGGTATTGAGAGACTCCTTTTACGTTTGTTTATACCTAAATAGTTAAGGAAGGAGAAAATAGTATTTCAAATATAGTTTTCCAAACGGGGCACAGAACGATTCCGTTTACTTTTTTTTATGCCTAACTAGTTAAGGAAGGTGAACATTGTATTTCAAACACGTATTGTAAACTATTTGCATGCAAGAAATGCGAGGCTCCCAGATGTGCCACTACGTTTTCAGGCCATTTCCAAAGGGACATTTGCATAGACAGCCCCTCGTGTTCGTTGGGTTGGTTGGTTGTTTGGTTGTTTAACGCTGCACTCAGCAATATTCGAGCTATTTGACGGCGGTCTGTAAATAATCGAGTCTGGACCAGACAATCCAGTAATTAATATGATGCGCATCTCTTCACGCAATCGGGATCGATGATCGTGTCAAAGCGAAGCTATATATCTTCCCAAAGTGCGTTTTTAAACAACTCTTTTTAAGTTATTTGATGCCTAAATGAATGTGAAAAGAACTAATACTATTTTAAACCCGTATTTTAGCGTTCCAAACGGGATGTAGAGCGAATACATTTACGTTATTTATGCTAAACAGTTAAGGAAGGAGAAAATAGTATTTCAAATACGTATTTTAAACTACTTCGATGCGAAAAATGCGAGGCTCCCAGATGTGCCACTCAGTTTTCAGGCTATTTCCATAAGAACGTTTGCATTGACAACCCCATGTAGTAAAGGGAAGCAATATAGTTTCTAAAAGGGGGTATAGAGCGACTGTTTTAAAGTTATTTTATGCCTAAATGGTAAAGGAAAGAGATAATAATATTTATAATATTTCAAACCCGTATATTAAACCTTTTCGATGCGAAACATGTGAGCCTCACAGATGTGCCACTAAGTTTTCAGGCTATTTCAATTGGGACGTTTGCATAGACACACACACGTACACACGAACACACGAACGCACGCACTCATTCACTCACTAACACACAAATAAGAAAATTAAAGTAATGGTATATGTTAACTATATTGTTCGTACTATATATGGTTATAGAAAGAGATGGCTGAAACTCGTTAATGGAATTGTGATATACATAAACCAAGAGCATATATTCCTAGTTATAAAGACATTGGTTCTAGTTGAAACTGCCTACACCTTGTGCTAAAAACTGGTAACAGTGTTAACATAAATTTAAGAATTCTAATGGTTGTACACATTTCTTCAAATGTTTATATATTGTCATTATTTTATTTCTTCCAGGCATGGACGTTGTGAAACAAACGTGAGTATTATTATCTACAGTGGCCATGTAACCTAGACATTGTAGCACCCTACCTTCAGTTGGTTACAGGTTTTCATAAATGCACGGCGAAGATAATGGATATCGACGCGTTATGTTTCATTTAGTACTCATAAATGTAAGTGGCTTTACACCACTCAGTGTCCGGGAGTCTCAAGCAATAGAAAAATAGGACTTCTTTTGAAAACTTGTTGATTTTACACTTTCTACCTTTGTCTACAGAATGAAGACATATGGCACACAAAAGAGCTCGGCACATGTAAGAGTTTACTGGCTAAAGTTGATGGAATATTCCAGTGCAAACTGTGTCCAGAATCAACGTCACGGCGGTACAATGTCAAGGAAGGACACATAAACAAGCACACACAACATGCCGTCAAAGTTGGGGGTATGTATAAATTGGTGTTTGTTATTAATCTAATATTGCGTGGTATGTACCTAGCGTATACGTGGCATTACGCATACGTGTAAAACGGTGTCCATTACACAACCTCACAAGCCCAACGCACCATTTTATCTGGTATAATAGTGAGGTGAGGTGAGGTAAAATGGGGTTTAACGTCGCCTCGAAGATTATTGCACTATTTAGTGACGTGCATGCACGTGTTTGTGTGAGTGGCTGCTTGTACTGGTCCGGACTGATGCCGTTTTATAGTGCTAGCTCACTAAGATACCATGCCTCAGTTTAACATGAATACCCCACACAGAGACAGCATACTGACTCCGAGCCGACCAGTCCTTGTTTTAGCACCTTAATGCCGAGCGCCAGACATGTTAACAACAAGTACCATCTTTTGGTATGACGCGGCCGGGGATCGAACCCCGGACCTTCCGCTCACCGGGCGGACGTTCTACCACTAGACCACGGAGGCGGTCCGGTATAATAATCCGTATTTGTGTCCTTGCAGATTTATGGGTGTTAAGCTGCTTTTTGGATTGTACTCCGAAACAAGACCGGTGCCATTACCACTGCCCGTGTGGTAAACTCTTTCGGAGAAAGTTCACATTTGTCCGACACACGACCACGGTTTGCCCTTTTGTTCTGACAACAAACCAGACAGCTTCTGAGGAAAGAACTTCAGCAGAGTCCCCTAACATCCAAAAAGTGAAGAGAGAGCAAGTTCCGAAAGAGACATGTTTTGTCTGCAATGCAATGATCTCTAAGAAAAACATTAAAAGACATATTGAGACACACAATGCACGGGATAAAGTGAAAACCAAGTCATACCAACGTGGAATATGCGTTGATAAACACCGCGGTCTCTACATGATCAGCAAGTCCAGTATCGGTCCAGATTACCCACTTCATGTACAAATGAACACTGTCACACAGCAGATACAATGTGAACATGAAAATTGCAATTTAGCTTTGGGTGTTGCAGCAAGGGGCAATGTAGGTATTTATCAGTGCCCCCATTTGCAATCAGTTATGTTTGCAAGTGAATGCCCGAAAGAAGTACACCTCCAGTCAGAACATGCTGAAAATCTTTGTCAACAGAAGGTAATACATTCTACAAACATGCAGGTTGCCCAGAAGCTTGTAGGCACTGCAGAACAAAGCAAAATACCTGTCGTCGTTTTATGGGAGCAGAAGCACTCTGTAAACAGCGTTTATTTCTCCGTGTATGATGGAACGAAGGAATACTGGGCTAAACTCGGTCGCGCTGTAGTCACATTCTTCAAGGACAAAGGACAGCTGAATTGCGTTTGCTGTAAAACCACCAAATCTTGCGTACACAAGACTCTTGTCAAATGGTATTTGGCACAGGAACACCCAGAGTTGCTGCACATTAGCTCCAAGGGAAGCGGTTACATCTGTAGTGAGAATGAAGGGGTATCAGTTGGACATTATCGTAGCGAGGAACCAACAACATCGGTCACCTTTGAAACCCGAACCTTACAAGATTCCGGAAGCAGCTTCTGTAAGACATACCCACCATCCGGACAAGGTGCACGTTTAATGGCCAATTATCTAATGTCCAGGAAGAAAATACCACCAGATTTTAAAGTTCCGGAAAATGCTCAATTAGGACATCTAGAAAACCTGTCGCCTATCGAAACACATTGTGTAATGTGTGCAGATGGAGGAGAACTTGACCAGTATCTGGTAACCAGAAAGGGGAAGATATACGATAAAGGTCATGTGTATACAGGTATGTATGGTGACCGTAAATACCTTACAACAATTTATGCAAACAAATGAAAATTACTTCCTTGCAAATGAGAGCCAATTTATGAATGTGGACTGTAATTTGTAATACGACAGGTGATATTGCTTGGGTGAGATGATGCGATATTACCTAGGACATATTGCTTCAATGAAACTGCATCATAATGCTTTCCAGACTATTGTGACGTCATAAGTTGTCACAACATAACTATCTAATGGCATAACTAATCTGTCTACCATCGAAACTGGGCAAGCTATGGCGATTTAAACTGTTATTGAACCGTGTTGATATAGTTGGCATAAAAAACACAAGGTTGCGATTGTCTGTATAGTGTATCATAATAGTATGATTTTGAATATGACTTTTCTCTACAATGTTTTAATTACATTATTTCATTGTCAGATGTAGCTGTTTTCATAAAGAAGTGCAAAGCGTGCGGTCACTTCTACAGGTACCAAGAGCACAGGGATGGTATACACAATTTTGACGACCACGTGTTCCTGTCAGTTCGCCTGTGCCACTGGTTCAGAGTTAACTTGAAGGTACATTATACCTAATTTAGTTAGTTTATGGACGACTCCCTTCTCCAAAACAACACTTTGCATATTTATGTGATCGTGATATCTGATTGTTGTATGGCGCATTGTTTGATATATGCACTTGATGTGGGCCGGTGACATTCGGACTTTAAACACTTTTGACTGTTAACTTAGGATTAGTTTAAAATATCGGCATAATGAATGTGATCAATTTCGCCTGCTTAATGGTTTCAGAATCATACAGCCGTAGGAAGGGCTGCCGATATCTTATCAGAAGATTCCGGCTTACATTTTCCCGGAGACAAAATGTTACAGGGATATCTGCACTTTGAGGCAATGTGCGATCACAAGTACAACTTTACCTGTGACATCTGTGGCCGTTTTCCATGTTGCCTGGTGACAGATGCAAATAGGAAATGTGCATTTCCATTAGCATGTAAGTCTATTTTATAACTTCCAGTGTCTAAGAAATGTATAAGCGCATTAACGATGTAGTTTCAAAATATAAAAATGGAAAGCAAAAATGTAAGGTCCATTATCTCATGGTTGGTCACAAACAATATCGCATAATGATGTTTCCTTATCCCTGTTCTCTCGTCTGTTATGGTAAACATGTATTGCTTACAGTGTCACAAGTACCAGGGACAGAAACAGCTACAGATGGAATCAACATGGATGTGTTTTGGAGCCAAACGGTGGAGGCGTCTATTTTACTTCGAGGTTTTGGAAAAGGTGCAAATCCTCATATTGTATTATAAATGACTCATCTTGTCTGTGTGTGTGTGTGTGAGAGAGAGAGAGAGAGAGAGAGAGAGAGAGAGAGAGAGAGAGAGAGAGAGAGAGAGAGAGAGAGAGAGAGAGAGAGAGAGAGGGGGGGGAACTAAAATTAAACTTACTGTAAGGATATTGTTTATATACACTATAATGTATTTATCATTTCATTCCCTGGCAGAAGCAGCCAACGTCGGGCGTGTTACACCTAGTTATGACAACTGGGCTCCTTTCATTGGATTAGCCAGAAAAGATGAAAATGCTTTCAACACTGAAGCTGAAAAATTACGATCTCTCAGAACCCATCTTCAAGATACAGATTTTGATACAGGGGATAAGGAACTGACTGAAGATTTCCTGATCCAAATGTTATGTGAAAAGAAGGTAAATATGACATAATCGAAAGGCCTTATTGATATCAACTAGGCACATTTGTATAATTCTTGCAATCTTGATATGCGTAGGTAGTAATATTACAAATTGAGATATGATATGATATGATATGATAAGCATAGTCACTCATGTTTTCGACATTTTCTATATCATATCATGTAGGTTCTGGATGTACGGCACTGGTGTACAAAGATGGAAGTAGACGCCAAAGGGACCAAATTAGAGATGATCAACAGCTTGAAGGAAAAGTTGAAAAGCAAATCAACCTTCAACAAGTTATTTTCAAGCATATGGGGCCATTCTGGTAATTATGCCTACTATTGCATTTAAAATGATGAATAAAACATATTATTAATATAAACATGCAATTTAGGGTATTGTTCAATGTATGTGTACGCTGTGTGTGTTCCCACATTCAAGTGCCAGACCAAATGATGCAAAATAACTACTTACTTTGTAACACAGTGGCTTTTGATTGGTAATATTATTTTCGTTAAATGTCTTCAAGATAAGCCATCCCCAGCCCCCTCTGCATAAGAACCAGCACTGAGTCTGTTAATGGAATGTCATTTTGTAACTTGAAACTCCACAATCTCTGCTCGGATCCGAGCACATTCTGACTACTGGAGGATATAGTATACTATTAAAAGCAAGGTTAAACCAAATGTGTCCCATCACTATGTTAATGTTCATTCAGGTGGATGGGTATCAGCGTCCTGCCCCCATAGAATAGTGTACGCGTTCAAAGCTATTCTGAGGCCTGAAAGTGTCAGAGACCATGTCGACATAATTCTATCTATGTCAAGACAACCGCCAGTCATCATTAGTGACGTAGCCCCAATGATGTCACGCCATGGTAACAAGCGGCGGAAGAACATGTTCTCGCCCAACGAAGGACGCTTGGGTGAAGCGACTGCAGACAACATAAAAAAAGCTAAGGAGGGGGTATTTTCAAAGAGTATACCTTGCATGAAGGAATGGGTGACAGTAGCACCAGTCTCCGACAATGATTTGCCAACCTCAAATGAAACGTTCTGTTTGCTGGATAGGTTTCATGAAGGGAATACAAAATCAGATGAGGAACTCCTAAGGCGTATAACGTTTGTTCCCGAAATGAAGGGCTCAATAAATTCACAAGTTGAAGAGCAGCTGCACAGGGAAATGAACCGGAACAACTACTTTCTAGATTCGATGTCGCCGGGTAACTACATGTTTGTCCTGCGATTGCTTCTACATTTTCACAATGAACATACAAACAGGAAAATGACAGAAGCAATCAAAGGAAAACTGAACACAGACATTTCGTATGGTGAAATACGTCATGACAAGTTTGGCCGCCTGCATCTTTCAGGTAAGAACTTATAAGTGGCATTCTATGACATGATCATATATGACGTTTATTGGGAAGCGAGTGAGTGAGTATGGTTTTACGCCGCTTTCATCAATATTCCAGCAATATTGCGGCGAGGGACACCAGAAATAGGCTTCACATGTGGGAATCGAACCCGGGTCTTCAGCGTGACCAGCAAGCGTTTTAACCACTAGGGTACTCCACCGTCCATATGAAGAAATTGAATACAATATAATAGGTTGACAATATTTTGACGATATACGCCAATCAGCACGCACAAGCGTCGTATTTCATTTCCAAAGTGACATTTTACCTTCCAGATTTGGACAATGCAGCAGAAAAAGAAGGTAAATTGATACAATTTATTTCTAACATGTTGACATACATGTACCTAAACATGCAGCATGATTTAAGATCCATTACGTGCCATGTCTAATTATAAGTTAGATGACAAGAAATAATAAAGGCTCTTGTTGTATTTTATTTGAACTTTTACAATGGTATGTTAAACTTTATCTGTTGTTTTTCAGTGATCCATTCATATAATTTTCAAGGCTATTGTTCCTTTTACAACCAATGGAATCTGCTTCGTCGGATAATCGAGATAATCGTTCTGGTGTTGACCTTTCATATTTACAGAGAAAACAGACCTTTGGACGAGGACTGAAGACGCACAGAAGCACAAGAAAATATCGCTCAAATGTAAGTAACATTTATGTATCTGTTGGGCAGTGTGGTACCCTAGAGGTCGGTGTTCTTCCCGATGGTCAATGTCCGATTTCACACGTGGGAAATGCATGAAGCAAATGTCTTATGTCCCTGTATGGGATATTGCTAGAATAGTGCTAACAGCGGCATCAAATATTAGTCATTTCACTGATGAATCTGTTGACCTGCATGTATTTTTTAACACATTAATATAATGTTTTAATGTGAAGTTCACATGTCATGAAGTCACATATCATGTCAAGAGGCCGGTCACATGACCACGAAACTGACGTTTATAAGCGTATGAACAACACACATTGAAATTTAGATGCATGTCTTCATGAGACTGTATTTCAGAAATTGTCGTAAACAATGGCGGACTTCTTCCACATCCCCATGGGAAACTCCTGGGAATTCTCTATCACGAAGAATTGAGAAGTGTCAGTATTGATCATTTGGGCATTTTCATCTTGAACTTAGGGTTTCTGCATACAAGTGTTTGACTGTATGGCAGTGATGGAATATCCTCGTTACGACTCATCCTAGTGAACATAATATTTAAAGATATGCACACACAGACTATAGACTCGATCCGTGCCTAGATTGATACATGTGCACACACACACACACGCACGCACACACACACACACACACACACACACACACACACACACACACACACACACACACACACACACACACACGCACGCACATATATATATATATATATATATACACACACACACATATTGCCTACTTTTTATTGTACTTTTGTATGATACAGATCACAAAGTTACCTTGAAACAACTGCAAGAAGCACTGCAGAAGGCTAGTCCATCAAACGTGACAACGTTTTGCCAAGGGACATCAGAACGACTTCTGGCCTCGGTAACCGAACACGGGCTGCGTTTTAGAGGGAGAACTCCCGGAGATGGCAACTGTTTTTTCCACGCAGTTGTAGATCAGCTTCAACGCCTCGATGCCAGATCAGTGTTTGACCACAGGGGACTAAGGATGGCAGTAGTTGACAGCCTACGGAGGTATCCTTATGTAAGTGCACACCGGACCATATATTTGTGCATATGTTACGTGTTATTGGTCTGGTGAGGGTACTGGGGTTGCCCTTCGGGTGCAGATACACTCGATAAGTGAATACAGATGATACAGGATGTCTGCGCACATCATTCAAATTCATAACACAGGTATTCAGTGGGGTTCAGGTGGAGGTACGAAATTTCGCTGGACAAGGCAGTTCCACGACTGGCATAAAACATGCCGACTAAAGTGGAGGATAAGGTCAGTTCTATAGCTGTGTACATGGTCGGTATTTTCTAACATGGTTAATGGACGTAACTCTGCACAGCGAATAGATGACAGCTCCTTGTTCCTCGCCCCATTCAACCTCACCTCGCTATGATAAGAGTTTAAGGCGCATGTAGGTGTTTAATTTCAGAGAGTGATCGTGGTTTTAGCCGGTCAATGGAACCGTTGATGACCTCAGAAATTAGATCCATAGATGGTACTCATGTGGGAAATGTAACAATGGCTTGCGGCGTGACAAGCAAACGTTTCAGCCACAATACTACGCCCACACCCCAAGTGTGCCTAAAATTGATATATGATGAATTACTAATTAAAATTCTACCAAACCTGCTTGTGTAACGTCAATTATATATACATGTTTTCTATAGGAAGGAGGCACACACCTATCCAATTTTGTCGATGTGCAACGGCACAAAACCTGGAACCTTTACTTGGAGGCCATGTCTACACCGGGTGAATACGTTGATCACCTTGTAGTACAGAGAACATCGCAGTTTCTCAAAAAGGACATTGCCGTTTTCACAAGTTCCGAAGATGGAACCGCGTCCGACAGCAATGTTGTAATGATATGTGGTGGACCAGGAGCGGCTATTATGTTAGGTCACTATCATGAAGCACATTATCAAAGTCTAGATTTCCAACGTGCTGGTAAGTATTCTATATTCAATATTTTCATTCATACGGGTTTCATGTATAAGTAACTAAAAGATCAAATATGAAATAAGTACCCACTTTTGCCACACATTTGCTTTCACCAACAGTTCTTCTATATCAATTCTTCTAATTCAAGAACCTGGGCCAGTGGTTGGCATAATAAGTGTTATCATCCGATACATTTTAGTCGTCTCTTAAGACAAGCGCTGGCGACTTATTCTAAATAAATACAAAGTATAGAATCTAATACAACCGCATACAACGCGGAATATTTCCTTTAACTATCACCACTATTGAGCCTTTTACGCCCAGTGGAATCTGTTTCGTCAGATTATCGAGACTGGTTAATCGCTGTCGTTGACGTGTTACATTTAAGAATTAACTTCAATATATATCTTTTGCTTTTATGTTGGTATAAAGGTAAAAACCGGTTTGCACACTGTGTACATAAGCATAAATAAGTACGTCAACGATAGTAACTTCACAGACTGTTCATTAAACACACAACTGTAGCCAACATTTCGAGCTAAAACAGCGCACACACTTCATAAGCCAATCATAACACAGTTGTTCGTTAGTGACCTAAATATTTTTCGGTAATTGTTTCCGCCTAAAATTCCTTGGTTAGTCAATGAAATGCCATGGAATCACTTGCAATGTATATAAGTACAAGTAATAAAAAAAGTATACATGACGTATATGTCATTTTAGCAAGCTGTTGCCGAAACAATCCGTCATTGTTATTTTAGGACAAGTGGAATGTTCCACCGCGCAAGCAGATTCATCACCATTGCCGGCGGAGGATGTGGTGAGTGTGATGAAACATATTGATATTTTCGTCTTTACAAATATGCTTACGATACAGGACGAACTGCCTTAAGGTAGAGAGTCATGTAATAATGTTAATTATTACAGGGCGGTTTAACTTTAACTGTTACTTGTAACCTATAACTAAGTACACTTACAATATTTAAAGGAAATATAAACTTGGCGGATACAATGATATCTTTGATATATAGATATAATTTGTTGTATGTTTTTCAGTTTCAAGATATCTGTAATGATGACAGAAGATTGGACGAAATAGTAGTGACGATAGGTCCCTACCGAATATCAAAATTGGATATTCTGACAATAGCACCAATACTTCCGAAAGAAACAGAAGACCAGCTGAGAGTGAAAATTTACAAAGAGACCAGATGGACTGTGGGCTGGTTAAATGATCAGGTATGTGTACACCACTGTATACACATGAAGTACATTTATTAAACGGTGATAAAGTGGAACAATAACGTTAATAATATTATGTTTCTTTGCAGATAATAAACGTCTTCTTGTATGTGCTGTGTCAAAGGTGGGGGGTAAGTGACAGGATATTCAACATACCGTGATATATACATATGATATGTACAAAATGATATGTAGATATGTTTACAAGATGCCATGTCATTCATTAATAGATTAATCAACTTTGTTACAAATTGTGATAATGTGTGCAAATACCAAAACAATATTCGTCCTTGAATATATCACTTGCTATTTTAGAATATGTTATTTGTTTCGGGGTAAGCAGAGAAACGCAGCTTTATCAAGCCAAGTTATAGAGGGATGGCAACATTTCAAGTCCAAAAGGAGACGCCGGGCGCCACTTGTTCAAAAGGTCAGAATTGCTTTTTAGAAATATCTGCAGTTACAATTTTAAACTGAAGACAAAATATGCCAAGGGAATATATAGTTTTTTTTATTCGCCCGTAAAGAGATCACCCGTTTAATAAACATACAGCTGTATAACACGTTGTATAATACCAAAGCGCGTGCTTATATACTGCGGGAACAAGTTTCAGTAACAAATATTGAAAACGCCCAACATCCCTGGGCTTATTCAACGACATTGCGTGTAGTGACGATAGATCACTGAGAGGGTGTGCACACGCAATGACCCTCTCAACCCTGATGCTATGCTGACGTCACATGACATTGTTTCGTGGTTGGATCTTGTAACAATATTCTACATATTACGTCAGAGGGTATTGTGACGTGTTGTAATCTTTTTGATGCAGCATCCTGTTCCACAAGTCGATAGTAGAGCAACGACAGACGTAAGTTTATGTTACTATAAGGGTAAATCTATTTTTCAGTGCATTATCATTTGCAGAAGCCCGAGATCTTCCATTAAGACCGAGGGTTTCTGCAAATGATAATGCCCTGAAAAATAGCGTTACCGTTATAATAGCTAAAAAGGATGGAATTTGTTATCAAATAAAAAGATTCAACGATATCGGTTTTGAAACATTTACTGCAATCAACACGAATGTCACTGACCCGCTTTTACAAATATGGAAACGCCATAGAACAAACCAGATGACGTCACTATTGAACATGACGTCACCTATCCCTATCCTAACAAATAGTCAAAACCCAAGTATGACATCATCTGGTTTGTTCTATGACATTTCCATATTTGTAAAAGTGGGTCAGTAACATATTTAGAAAAGTTATAAACGGCAAGTAATAAATAAATTACTAAGCTCGCTCCTGTTTAATAACATTTTTATGAAACTCGTGAATAGTTTCTTGTATCGGACTCCCTTTCGATCGTGAGATACCAGAACTATTCACTCGTTTCATACGATAAGTATTACAAAGGAGCTCGTTTAGTATTCTCTATTTGTCATAAAGTGGGAATGGGTAAAGAGAAGAATATTTCGAAGATGACGTTGAGGAGAAGATATCATTCACTGTCGGTTGGTGAATAAGAATCGCCTAGCCTTGCAAGGCTTGTCATTATTGAGAAAAGAAAATTAAATCTTCAAGAAAAAGCGTTTTCTGAAATTGACAGTATCATAAGTGAGATAAGATGCACTGGAAGAGTTTCTGAACCGCCGAAAGACGCCGACATATTGAGGAAATGAATTGAATGAATTGAATAAAGTTGATGAAGACAAACATTCCCTTAATGTAGCAACAGGTAACTGGATACATATCAAGTCTAATCGTTGCACATATATGAAACCTTAAGACGGGATATTATGTTGTTTGTTGTTGTAATGCCACAATAAACAATAGTCTAGGTATATGGCGACGTTTTAATCATGTACATGCTACTGTTGGAACTACTTCTAGATTAACAATATAATATGAGGTACGGTATGAAACAAAAGGTATGTTTTCAAGATGGATGCATGTTGTTATACTGTCTTCAGTTGTCAGATATATATGGGCAGTGAATGTCATAAGAAACGTTTTAATAGAAGATAGATGCAGTTCTTTTGATGGTTGATGTTTTAACATAATGACATGGAAACGAACTATGTACATGAGATGAACATAGATATAATTTACCAGTGATATTTTATTCAATGAAATATTTTATGGCTAACTGAAAATTGCCACAACACAACAACATAGGCTACTGTGAAAGACTCGCTACACTAATAAAGAAAACAAAATTTAATGTCCTCAATAATATATGTGAACAACCGATTGCCTGTTAATACATATGATACCAGAGATGTTCAAGGGACGACATGAGATACCGTTTGTAGGCTGAGATTAAGTACACAATGCCGTGAGACAGCACAACCTTAGTCCTGTACTGTAGATTGTAGGTATTTGAGTATTGTTCCGAATGTAAAGGACCATGTTCGTTGTATTTCAGGAAAAACTCTCGGAAGCAGAGAAAGTGTTTATACCGATTCACAGACATGGAAGCCATTGGACATTGCTGGTAAGTTGTATTTCCTAGGTATTTGAGACAGAAATTGACCACACATGAATGGTGCCTATCGTATGTGTGTAGTTGTGTGACTCACGTCGAAGTGTGTGGGCGTGTGTTGGATTTCAATCGTGTGACTGAATTTCGGGTCGATCACTTGATCCTCAGATTTGTGTACAGGCCCACGTCGGATGGCAACAAATACATACGTTTTTGTGCAAATTGTGTGAATGGCAGTTGCTTCCATTTGGGGAGACATGCTTACCCCTTTCGTAAAAACCTGGCGTCGTCTTTGATTTTCAGTTTACCTTTATGTGAAGGTCACATATAGACGTACAACAGTTACTGTCACTCCTTATTTCTGACGCAGGTGTTGGATGTACAAGCCAAACGAATGCGCTTCTATGACCCCTTGAACCGGAGATTAGACGAAGAAGTGGTCAACACAACAAGGTAGGGTTGCTGAATAAGTAAATGCCCTATATGGCCACATCTATATTAATAAATGAAGTAGTTTTATAGCCTTACAAGTACATGGCTGCTTACGTTATTACTATGAACTGCTGCGTTGCCTGTCGGTCCAAACTCATTGCATTTGCACTTTTCTTCAAAGGGAGTACATGGAATACAGACTTCAGAATGTACCAGATGATGCAATTGACCTATCAAACTTCAACGTAGAGGTCAGTCATGAGTACACCACACAGACGGATGCTACAAGCTGTGGTGTTTGCATATGCATAGTGAGTACAGCAAGGTCTTAGAAAGAGTTGTTCAAAACTGAATAATAACGATTAAATATTATCTCGCCACTGATTACACTTTGACTTATTCACGGTTACTATGAAGAAAATATTTTTTTTAAATTTATGTAAATTCAAGAATACCTGGAATAGTGAGTGATTTAATGGTCACATTGAATATGATTTCGTGTTTCAGTATGCGTGGAACGAATGCAGCAAGGACAAGAAGGTACGACCGTTTTTTTGGTGTATTGAAGTTCTAATGTATAGCAGTTATATTACAGACGATATGTATCAATGATTATTTTTAAAATAAAAACATGACATATTTTGCAGTGTGACCCGAGCAGTTGCCGTTCTTTCATAGCCAAAGAAATTTTGAATGCAGTGAAGGATGTGGAACCAAAGGTACTTTATTTGTGCACTGTGAATAATTGTGACAGTAATGGGCATATACGCTACTGTTTATTGTTCGTAAGCTAACCAAAGGTATGTGTCACAAATATATCCCCGTATTTCGAATATTCAATAAGTAATTCACATGCAATTCTATTCTACTTATAAAATATGTGCTACTTGGAACATCGTTCCATTTCAGAATACAACAAAGGAAATACGAAGCAAATACGGACTGCGGGAGCAAGTTCCAGTGGTAAAACATAATGAGGTTTCACTGATACATCTAGATGGTCGATTCCATTTCATGTAGTACTGAAAATACATTTAGTATACATGCGACCCGTGAAGATCCGGGTAGAATAGGTCTTCAGCAACCCATGCTTGCCGTAAAAGGCGACTATGCTTGTCGTAAAAGGCGACTAACGGGATTTGGGGGTCAAGCTCCCTGACTTGGTTGATGCATGTCATCCATCCCAATTGCGTGGATCGATGCTCATGATATTAATCACTGGATTGTCTGGTCCAGTGGTCCAGACTCGATTATTTACAGACAGCCGTCATATAACTGGAATATTGCTGAATGCGGCGTTAAACAACAAACCAACCAACCAACTAGTACACATGCATGTGTTATGCACATAATGCATTAAGTACCCATGACAACAAACTGTTATGATTCATACCTAAAATACACCCGTGAAGATCCGGGTCAGAAAAGGGTCTTCAACAACCCATGCTTTTCGGAAAAACGGGGTCTGTGCTTGCCGACTTTTATTCAGTGAATTTATCTCCATAAGTTTGCATGGAAGTGATGCGACCCTATATACATGTTGTATTCACGTGCACTTTCTGGTTTCATAAGGTAATATAGAATTGACGTAATTTAATTCGTACTATAATTCATTAAACATAATAACTAGTAATAATGGTACACTGTTTCAAAATTTCATATAAAATTTATTCGCTCCTGAAATTCTGTTACTACACTCAGGACACAAATACATTTCTATATGTTTCTGAATCAGAAGAGATTTTCGGATTCGTGGTGTGCTGACCAACCTCTGCCATTGAAACGAATACGAAGACCTGAATATGCGGCAATGAAGATCCAAACACAGGTACAGAAAGTAAAATCTGATTCATGAAATAACTGAATGTTCTGTTCTTGCTCCATCACAAGAAAACTTACGAGAGTGTTGTACAGCTCGTATCTTAGGTTGATAAATAGTATACATTTGTTAAAAATTGGTTTGTGAATGACCATAGAATTGTTTGTATTTCATTTAGAAACCGAATCCTGAGGTGCAGCTTAAAAGGTATGATACTTTTGACAATAATATATGAAAACATTTTAATAATCATAATAAATCTTTGCTTGAAACATGATACGATTAAGACGATATCATAAGTTTGTGAATAATAAATTTCTATACTTGTGTCGCTTGATACACATCGACTAGTCACATAAGTTTGCAGGCAGTTATCATACAGCAATTAAAATATATTGGAGAAAGAATAATTACTTATTGCATTTACTGTTGCGAAAGAGGGAATACAAGAGATAATTATTAATTTACTACATATTATTGCAGCACAAAATGTGTCGAAAAGACGACAGTGACAAGAAAAGCCATGCGTGAGTATTTGTTTAGAAACCAACCTCATATAAGAATTAAGACACACATGCACGCACGCACGCACACGCACGCACACACATGCACACACAGACAAACATACAGAGAGAAAAAGATGCCCATGGTATAAACTCAAAGTATGAATATGTTTGTTTAATACAAATAGCGGTTCCTGCAGTAGACATGAAGGAATATGGTGACCAACAAGTGAACATACTTGCTGATGATCTCGAGGAGCTGAGGACTGTGGAACGATCAGAATTCCGAAATGTGGTATGAACATTCATATATATTGACCTACAGTTTCAGTTGTAAATATTATATTGGCATAACAACTTGTGAGTTTCAATATAGATAGATAGATAGATAGATAGATAGATAGATAGATAGATAGATAGATAGATAGTGTTAATTTCCAATCTCTAGACTGTAGTAAATGTGTCACGAATAACAATATGAAAACGTATTTTTGATGACGTTTTTATTCCATTGGATTTGTAACTATATAAATATGTTTCTGTGTACACTTGATGAACGGTATAACTAGGAATGTTTTGTTCCTTTAGTTGGAAAAGATAATTGATGAAGATGTACCCAGGCTGTACCGGTACCCAACAAATGATACAGAAGAAGTACCTGAAGAGTTCAGGAGACATGTGCTTTATTTTCAACGAAAGAAGCTGGAGAGGAGCAGGGCCATGTCCCACCTCAATGCTGTTGTAAATATTACTCTAATTTGACTTCACGAATGTTGAAAACGCCTATTAATTTGCCAGTGTTTGGAAATACTGATAACCATCTCAACACAGAAATACTGAGTTACATATTAAATTTGCTTACAGATATGTTCATACTACAGTGACATTTGTCTAACCGGCCTCTGTCTAAAGCGGATATGCCCATATATGAAGATATTTTCGATCCAAACTTTTACACGTAAATTTATACTGAGAGTACATGACATGACTTAATGATAGAATGACTGCTTTCAGGGATATGCCATACTGATGCAGTCCATGGAGACACATTTGGTGACGAGGACAAGAGGTCCAAGGTAAGTATAGGATAAAATAAACTTAAGGAACATATTTAATTTTCCATCAAGAAGCTTCTGTTTGTTTGTCATCACTATAAAAGAATCAAGCGCGTATTAAGAACGAATAAGCTTTGTTTCCACAACTGACCGATAGTTTTACGCTATACACTACCAACAAATATACAGAAATGATGTAGTGATTTATTTAATTTGCATTTTCAGACTTTATGACATCACAAAAAGAAATCTGATACTACCCGATGTTGTACTACAATTTGGACGTCCAAGGTATGTGACTGATGATTGTAAGTTGTAATACATAGTTCTGTCCTAATGGTTGTACGGGTGACAGAAACATGAGGCTTCAGCCATCACAAAAATTGCTGTCACTCGATTCATATATTTTTCAGGAACGACTATTTCCTCAAAGTGGTGGAAGATTTCATTTTCTACCATGCCAGAAAGCATTTCGAAACAAGGCACACAGGTATGTAATTCTTGAGTGGGTGAGTGAGTGAGTGAGTGTGATGTTCGTGGATATGAGTATACCAATAATAAATGAAAGGATTTGTCAGCATATTAAAGAGGAGAGAAAATGCCGAGGTCATGCAGGTCGAAGTCATGTAGGTCGAAGTCATGTAATCCTTAAATGACTGTCACTTCGTTGAAACCATTTTGTGTAAATATACTACTTTTGCATTTTCAACATGTATACTCGAACCGTGTTTTGTCGAATGTACCGATATGTCGAACCTTGTCTGTGGTCGCGACCGCCTATACAAATACATATAAATTTACCCGCATCTGTCTAATTAGACACGATATAACATATCGTTATCTCGAAATTTGACTTAAATATTTAATGCTTGCCACGTTAACAGTTTTGAGAAGCGCAAATAAACATCTCGCATAGTTGTGAGCAATTCTCCTACATACATGCATGTATAGGCCTATTTGTAGTATATTTCTTCTCACATCTAACAACGCTGTAAATGGATTTTGAACCAATTGTTCATACACGTATGTAGTTACAATTTTGTCCAGTTGTCATGTATGTAACTTTTAGTACGTTATTTTTTTTCAGATTCATGACAGATTGGATATGCGCTTATTTAAGAGAAAGCGTTATGAGTACATAAGAGTATATCTATTACAAAAAATGAGGACCGGGTTGATATAAGAGTGAGTGAAAGGTTGATACTGGAGTGAATGAGTGAGTGACATTAAGAAGATATGTTGTTTGAATATTGAATATTTGATGTTTGTGCTTAGTGGAAGGCCATAGAAAACTTGTTTAATAGAAATTAGCGTAAAGCAATTGACAAATTATCCACTTATTACAAGGCTGGATAAGTGAAAGAGAGCTAAATATTCCAATGAACAAATACGCGAAATTGCAGCAAATTAAGAACATGTAGTGTGCAATTCATGGGACTAAATTAAATATAAAAGTCGTGTATGAACCCTATTTACTACTAGATTGTAATCAATACATTATAAATATGGGAACACTGCCCACTTCCTGGAATGTACAAGCAAAACAACCGAAACTAAACAACACATTAAAACACAAATGTTATTTCAGAAAGTGGTCATATGTAACAAGTGTCATATTTGGGACAACACTTTCTTAGTAAAGTACAAATTCTCGCACTTTGTTTGGTTGAGTCCCTATCTAATTACCCACTCAGCCACCGAGGCTTACGCAAAAATGGAAGTACGACAACTGGTAGTCTAGATCACGTACTTTGTGTACCGTTCTGACAAGTGTAAATTGGCACAGCTCCCATGGCCGAAAGCTATGAACTTTACTAAGAGGTGTCATCCAAAATATAACATTTGTTACATATGACCACTTTCTAAAATGACATTTGTGTGTTCATAAACTTAGCACTTTTTTCTCCAAAATTACTATAAAGAATAAGAAGGCCTCACTGCACACTTTGGATAGCAGAAATACCAACCTGAATATAAATACAATACAAAGAACTATATATTGCACCTTACGGTTTATTAAGCAGCAGCAGCTGTGACAAGTTTATAACAATGTCATTCAAAGAATAGAACTTACACAAAAGGCATCCGGTGAGTTATCATTGTTGGGGACAAGAGATCTACTCACGCACCCAGTGGCAAACTGGGCATCATTGAGCTGAGTACTCAAGCAGTCCAGACAGACACAACCCATGCACTGTGTCAAAGGCCGACAAACTTATTCTCAGATCTGACGTTTACAGAACACCCCTAATACATGAATCACTTCACTTAAAGTCAAAGGCTCTTCACTTAGTTTACTCTTTTCCATATTTTCAATTTTGTAGATATATGTTTGTACATCTAGTCTAATACCACCATTAGCCATCAAATGTATATAAAGTTCAGTTCAGTGTCGTCTGAAGGAACTTCCATACGTATGTGTAATGGACGGAAGTGACAGTCGCTAGGGCAACGTGAATGAGTGAACTGTTCATTTGAATAATTGTGTCATTTGTACTACTTGCTCTGTGTTTATATCTAATACTCTCTTAATTATGTAATCACGACCCCAAGAACGCGAGGGTTAGTACATGTACTGGTCTTCAGCAACCCATGCTTGTAGTAAAAGACGACTAACGGGATGCATATCATCGTATACCATTTGCGTGATCGATGCTCACGATGTCAATCACTGGATTGTCTGGTGTAGACTCGATTATTTACAGACCCGTGGTCATTAGCTGGAATATTGCTGAGTGCGGCGTTGAATAACAAATATAAATGTATTAATGGCCTTAAATGTTGATGTGACCCTATGGGGAGTCCTAAAGAAGTAGGCGTTGCCTCAAGTAACCTGTGCTTGTCGTAAGCGGCGACTTACGTGGACTGGGTGGTCGGACTCGGTGACTCGGTTGATTGAGTGTCACAGTATCCCGAGTGTGTTAATATTTGCTGGTGAAGCTATTTGAAGCAGGTATACCTAACACACCTTTTTTATTACAATGGATATATTATATGTGTTTATTATTCTGTTATGAATAAATGTCTTTGTTATCATGTACCCCAAAGTTTGAGTTCATTGTGTGCACTTAATGCATGTGTATGGTGTTATACGCTTCAACGGCTACATCACGGCGTCGGGGGGCTGCAGGAATGGGCTTCAAACGAAACATTACCCCGATGTAAGGAATCGAACTCGACAGTTTAGGCGTTGATTGAGACACTGAGCTACCCTATCGCTAATATGGACATATTTTCTTCACACCTATTACATTTACAAATATTACCGTGCACAGTGGAATCTGTCGGGACAGGACTTTAACTAATCAGCATTTGTAATACAAGGCGATATCAATGGTGCCGAATATACTATGATTCATAATAATACTTCTATAATATTCCTAACACAGGCCTCTGTAAAAATCAGACTAACTTTCGGCCCCACAATAAGTAAAACGTTCATTTCACCTGGATGTCAAAACAATGACGCAATGAAGTCCGAAGCAGATATTCCACTGTACTACACAATACACATTGAACGTCAAAAGCCCATTGGATGAATGTGCAATTGCAATGCTGATGCGATAGGGTAATTCTCTCAAATGTTGGAGGCAAAGGGAATTCCAAAGCTTTGTACACATAGATTGCGGTGTTCTCAGCATTCCAGAGAATCCTGCGCTCGTCCTTACGGTAGACTTCACCAAATGCATGGTGATAAATGATGATTTGTTTGTTGTTTAACGCCGCACTCAGCAGTATTCTAGCTATATGACGGCGTCTGTAAATAATCGAACCTGCACCAGACAATCCAGTGATTAACATCATGAGCATCTATCTACGCAATTGGAATAAGATGACATACATCAACTAAGTCAGCGAGCCTGACAACCCGATCCTGTTAATCGCCTTTTACGACATGCATGGGTTGCTGACGACCGATTCTAATCAGGAGCATAAACGGCGTCTCACCTACCATGGGAGGTATTTACAGGTTGTTACAATCAGCAATCCCCGTTATTTGAATCGGCCAGATGTTGTATTTTTAGTAATTTATTGTGTATTGTTCGTCATACATGATGCGACACACTAATGCAATATTTTCGCCTTTGTTAACGGTACCAAAACACTACAGAGATGTAATGATTATTTCCCCTGATATTGTGCAGTCTGGATCAATTAGAATTGACTGAAGGGTTTGGCAATAACACTATGGTCATATAAATTCGTCTACCGTAAATAAACCAGAATTGATTAAGTAAACTATGTAACTAACTTTTCTGACAAACACTATATTTATATTAAAAAGTGCAGAACATTGAAAAAATATTTTAATTATCTCAAGAAGTCGGCGTGAGAGTTCTGGAGACGGATGTGAGTTAGGGGCGTCCCGTATTTCTACAGCCTCGTAATAAAGGATCTGGCGAGGGAGACTTGCCGCCAGTCTATGTAACCCAACTCTCCCCTGGGTTCACGCTTACTGGCACTTCCTTGTGGCTCCCGGCACACGGCACATAGGAGCCTTCCCCTACTCCTGTCGGAAACTGTTAGCGACACATTTCCCTTGCTGACACACTGTCATTTCCCAGAGCACACACAGACTCTCGTCTACTGCACTCACACGTTTGCTAGCAATCCACTTTGCTAATCCAGTCACACTTCTTATTCAGGATTTAGTGGGGATAAAACCTTCTCCTTGAAGCCCTGTCTGTGTCCGCTGCCCTGTGAAGGGTGGACTAGTGTTATTGCTATATGTGGATTACAACACAACTCACAACTGCTTTCTCAAAATATTTATTTTGAGACAAAGATTTAAGTTCCAACAAAAAATATCAAGCTTATTTCTTTTATCAATATAAAGTTGAATTGTCCGTTTGTCGAGATTGCCGATTTTAGACCACAGTGCCTATCAAAAGTGTGCCGGCGTCATTGAAGCCAAAGCCCTTTTTGTCACTGTATCCTAAATTAGTATTCCATGACAATGTCCGCCTTTAAACCATCGTCCTAGTCGCAGTATAGCAGATGTCCCGAGTAGGATATTATTAGTCAGGGACAACTGCAGGTGCATTTACATCAAACTTGCTACTACTATCATGATTCCCAGACGAGCCCCCTTCTTTAAAACTGCTTTGACGGAAGCGGGCGCAGCGATATTGCAAGGAGTCATGGCCTGACCTGTTAGGTCTGAGCGGGCGCAGCGATGTTGCATGGAGTCACGAACTGACCTGTTAGGTCTGAGCGGGCGCAGCGATGTTGCATGGAGTCACGGCCTGACCTGTTAGGTCTGAGCGGGCGCAGCGATGTTGCATGGAGTCATGGCCTGACCTGTTAGGTCTGAGCGGGCGCAGCGATGTTGCATGGAGTCATGGCCTGACCTGTTAGGTCTGAGCGGGCGCAGCGATGTTGCATGGAGTCATGGCCTGACCTGTTAGGTCTGAGCGGGCGCAGCGATGTTGCATGGAGTCATGGCCTGACCTGTTAGGTCTGAGCGGGCGCAGCGATGTTGCATGGAGTCATGGCCTGACCTGTTAGGCCTGAGCGGGCGCAGCGATGTTGCATGGAGTCATGGTCTGACCTGTTAGGCCTGAGCGGGCGCAGCGATGTTGCATGGAGTCATGGTCTGACCTGTTAGGTCTGAGCGGGCGTAGTGATGTTGCATGGAGTCATGGTCTGACCTGTTAGGTCTGAGCGGGCGTAGTGATGTTCCATGGAGTCATGGTCTGACCTGTAAGGTCTGAGCGGGCGCAGCGATGTTGCATGGAGTCATGGCCTGACCTGTTAGGTCTGAGCGGGCGCAGCGATGTTGCCTGGAGTCATGGCCTGACCTGTTAGGCCTGAGCGGGCGCAGCGATGTTGCATGGAGTCATCGTCTGACCTGTTAGGCCTGAGCGGGCGCAGCGATGTTGCATGGAGTCATGGCCTGACCTGTTAGGCCTGAGCGGGCGTAGTGATGTTGCATGGAGTCACGAACTGACCTGTTAGGTCTGAGCGGGCGCAGCGATGTTGCATGGAGTCACGGCCTGACCTGTTAGGTCTGAGCGGGCGCAGCGATGTTGCATGGAGTCACGGCCTGACCTGTTAGGTCTGAGCGGGCGCAGCGATGTTGCATGGAGTCATGGCCTGACCTGTTAGGTCTGAGCGGGCGCAGCGATGTTGCATGGAGTCATGGCCTGACCTGTTAGGTCTGAGCGGGCGCAGCGATGTTGCATGGAGTCATGGCCTGACCTGTTAGGCCTGAGCGGGCGTAGTGATGTTGCATGGAGTGATGGCCTGACCTGTTAGGTCTGAGCGGGCGCAGCGATATTGCATGGAGTCACGGCCTGACCTGTTAGGCCTGAGCGGGCGCAGCGATGTTGCATGGAGTCATGGCCTGACCTGTTAGGTCTGAGCGGGCGTAGTGATGTTGCATGGAGTCACGGCCTGACCTGTTAGGTCTGAGCGGGCGTAGTGATGTTGCATGGAGTCATGGTCTGACCTGTAAGGTCTGAGCGGGCGCAGCGATGTTGCATGGAGTCATGGCCTGACCTGTTAGGTCTGAGCGGGCGCAGCGATGTTGCCTGGAGTCATGGCCTGACCTGTTAGGCCTGAGCGGGCGCAGCGATGTTGCATGGAGTCATCGTCTGACCTGTTAGGCCTGAGCGGGCGCAGCGATGTTGCATGGAGTCATGGCCTGACCTGTTAGGCCTGAGCGGGCGTAGTGATGTTGCATGGAGTCACGAACTGACCTGTTAGGTCTGAGCGGGCGCAGCGATGTTGCATGGAGTCACGGCCTGACCTGTTAGGTCTGAGCGGGCGCAGCGATGTTGCATGGA